CCCACGCTGAAGCGGAGCAGGATTAACCTCAGTTCTCCTCTTTTTCTCTATTTTTTCCCCCCAGAAGGGCTGTATTCTGCTCCCAGTTGCTCTGGGGTAGATGTGCCTGGAGCAGGGCTGGGCAGCTCGGTGGGGGCTGGCGTGCCCAGCTCAAAGCCCTTCGTGGTTCCTCTGTTCTCCAACCTGTGAAATGGGTGCAGGAGCAGCAATTTTACACCACAGCAGCTGCATCCACATCTGGGTCTGGCCAAGAGGGCCATGCCCGGGGGAGGAGGCACCCCGTGAGCTGGTGGGTTCATCCGGACGCTGTCTTCTCCCTGCCTTCCAGGAGGTTTCACCACTCCCTCACCGACAACAACCGCTGGATCCGGGAGCGGAGCCACGAGTCCTACGCCAAGAACTACTCCGTCGTCTTCCCCCATGACGAGCCGCTGGCGGGGCGCAACATGAGGAAGGACCCCCTGCACGAGGTGAGGACGCTCACCCTGACCCGGGCTGCGGGCAAGGAGCTGTGGGAGACCCTCACAGCATTCTTACAGCAAAAAAGAGGGGGCAAGGAGTGGCCGCACCTGTATTGCTCCCCAAAGCATCCATACTCCCATCCATCCATCCATCCATCCAGGGAAGATCCCTGCCGAATCCCAGAGCTCGCCAGGTGCACACTGCGGGGCTTCTGAGGCTATGGACAGTGTAAAGGTAGAGCTGTTAAGCCTTCCTGTAACATTGAACTTGGCAGATACGGCTGAAGAGCCTGGTGGTGGTCACTGGGCAAGGGAGGAGAGAAGAGGAGGGCTCAGAGGCTGATTTCGTTCACTGCCAGTCCGGCTCAGTCGTGGGCTGTGGGATGTTGGATGCCCGTGGTGGTCTCCTGTCCCCTGCTCACCGTGTCTCGCTGGCAGCTCAGCAGCAGCTTCTCCTCCCCAAAATGGTGTTTTGCAATGAGGAGCAAGGCCGGGGAACAGGGAGGGATGTGGGAAGAATGGGGAGCAGTCGTGTCTCCGCGGAGATGGTGTTGCCAGCACCCTCGAAGTCCGTGCTGGTTTTGCTCCCTGTAGCTGCCAGCCAGGGCTCCTCCCTGCTCCCACCTTCACCAGCCTCTTCCTTTCACAGATCTCTGTAGGTGAACACTTTCAAGATGCAGCACTTGAGGAAAAAAAAACCCAGTTTCCAGCGGTTTGCTGCACCAGCTGCATTGCAGCAACCACGGCTTGGAGCCCCCCAAAACACTCCCAAGGTGCTCAGGGTGACCTGAGGCCGGTGCCTCGTCCCACCCCGTCGCTGCCAGCCCCAGTCTCAGCCCCGGGCAAGGAGCAGCGGCATTGCTCGAGCCCATTTCTGCCCATCACTAGTTCAGATCACACCATTCCTCTTCTGATGGAGAGCAGAGGCTTGAGCAGTAAAACAGACATCCCTCCCTGCCGTCCCCCGGTGTTTGGTTGACAGCTCGGTTGTTTTCTGTCACCGAGGATGCAATTTATTTTTTAATAGCATGTCAAATAAACGATGCCCATTTGACTGACAGCCTGGTATTTATACACGCAGCTCCCAAACATGTGCTGTGTTTTATAAATAGGCACTGAATCATTTCTGAAATGTTCAACAAAATCTATTCTTTTCCGAACAGAGGCACCAAACAAAAATATCTTTATGGATCCCTAATTAATTGTGTGCAGAGAGATTTTCCTGAGAGCACAGAGGAGGAATGAGAAGGTTGCCACATAAATGTTATTATATAATAACTCTTGTAAACATCGGGGGGGAATGTTGCTCTCTGGATTTAGCACCTCTCGGTCAGTAATTCCTGCAGCATAGCGCAAGCTTTGGTGGGGCGCGCAGCTGGGCTGCCGGACTCCTGCCCCTCGGCTGCTGTTGACACAAATACCTTTCTTGGGGGGGCAGAAATATCAGCCAGTTTGCAGGCAGATGGGGTTTGCCATGGTTTTAAAAGACAAACCACAGAGCTGGTTTTAGCTGCTGATAGCCAAGGCCAACAAATCACTAAGTGCTTGGGGAGGGCAGCCTGGGCACTGCTAATAAGGACTGAAAAGGCTTTTTTTTAACCATTTATTCCCATTTTTCTGGCTTTGCTTGCATAGGAGCTGCTGGGACAGGGCTGTGTTTTCCAGGAGCGGCATGGCTGGGAGAGGCCGGGCTGGTTCAGCCCCGGAGGAGCAGCCCCGGTAAGCACGGCACGTGTTTCGGTGGGAAGTCAGCCGCAGGGTACCAGCCGTGACCGGTGCATGCCGGATGCGTCCTGCATCTGCAGGGTGTCTGATCTCGCTTCTGTATGTTGAAGAGCAGCAGGCAGGGATGCCGGGGTGGGGTCCCATCACTGCAGGCAGGGATGCCGGGGTGGGGACCCATCACCATGGGCAGGGATGCCAAGGAGGGGACCCATCACTGTGGGCAGGGATGCCGGGGTGGTGTCCCATCACTGCGGGCAGGGATGCCATGGAGAGGACCCATCACCATGTTCAGGGATGACGGGGTGGGGACCCATCACCGCGGGCAGAGATGCTAAGGAGGGGACTCATCACTGTGGGCAGGGATGCCAGAATGGGGACCCATCACTGTGGGCAGGGATACTGGGGAGTGGCCCCATCACCACAGCCAAGTCCTGCTTGGACCCACTCCTCTCCTGGCGTGGGGTGAATGTAACTGGGAGCAGCCCCTCAGCTTCGGCCTCACACTGTCTTCCTCACTGCTCCCATCCTTCCGCTTTCCCCCAGGTTCTGGATTACGACTACTACGGCGCGTACGGCCAGGAGCGCCACAGGGACTACACCTACAACCGGTTGCTGGGGGACGAGTACACCTTTGACTTCCCCCCACACCATGACATCGTGAGTGCAGGGGGCAGCCCCCACACCCGCCAAAATTGCTGGGCACATCTGTGGCTGGGGGGGGTGGAGGAGCTGGTGGGGCTCAGAGTGGTGGGAAGCAGTGAGCTTTGCCCAAACCTGGGAAAAATGTTCCAAAAAGATGAAGAGAAATGCATGGCCTGTGCTCAGAAAGCTTGGTGAGGAGGCCACAGGAATTTTACTGCTGCTTTCCCAAGCAAAGGAGTTGAGATGAGCTTGGGGGAAATACCCAATTAGATAAAATTGAACTATTATTATTGATAACTGTCACTGTGTTAGTGAGGTAAGGAATGGGAATGAGCAGACAAGATGGCCTGTCAGACTTGCTCTGTTTAATACCTGATTTTTCAGGAGGGTTTTGAAGCCTTTGAAGGTACCAGGGAAGAGTCCTGGGGTTGTGTCTCCTGACATACATGATTCTAGCGTGTGCCTCCATTTGTGGAGTGAGAATACGCCTCAGCTTCAGCGGTGTGTTTGCTTTAATTGTAGATCAAGAATGAATGCTTAGCGTGCAGAAATGCCCTGGCTCTCTTCGACATGTCTTATTTTGGGAAGTTCTACCTGGTTGGTCCAGAAGCAACCAAAGCGGTGAACTGGCTGTTCACTGCCGACGTGAGCAAAGCACCAGGTACCGCCTCAGCCCCCTGATGTGTGCTGCCTCTGCTCAGCGCTGCCCTGGGACACCACAAAACAAACCAAGGAGGGACCCAAACTGGCTTTTCTTTTAAATGTTGCTTTGGCAGAGGGTACGGGAAGCATGTGGCTGCTTTCCCTGTCCTCGTCGGAGGCTGGATTCTGCTCTCATTCACACAGCGGCAAATCTGCTCTGAGGGATGGGGGGGTTTGGCCCTGTGGCTCCAGCTGTGGCTCACAGCTGGAGATGTGGTGGGTACCAGAATAAATAAGCACAACCCTCGCCAGCTGCAGTTTGCATAGGGAGAAGCTGCCCCCTTCTCCAGGGCTGGGAGGCTGCTTGTGGCATTTCCAAGGATGCAGCTTCAGCTCCTCACACAGATCTCAAGGGGAAAAAGCCCAGCTCCTGTCTCCGTCCCGGTGCTGGGACGTCTGGAGTCAGTCAGGGCAAACCCAGGCACCAGCAGCTGATGTAACGACGAGGGCAAATTTTACCCATGTCCCTCTGCCAGGGCTCTGTGCCAGGGCTGGCTGATGGCAGCGGTGCCCGTCTCCTTGCCCCAGGCTCGACCGTGTACACCTGCATGCTGAACAAACACGGCGGCGTGGAGAGTGACCTGACCGTCAGCCGGATCAGCCCCGGGGACCCGGCCTCCCCCCTGGCCCCCGCCTTTGAAGGTAAAAGTCCTCAGCGCGGGGATGCTGGAGGTGGGTGGGTTTCTGCAGCTGCCGTGGGGCTGGGGGGGATTGCCGGGTGGGTTC